GCACTGGGGGATGAAGAAGGGAAAGAATCACAGATGACTACAAAATGTCAAGTCTCAGTGACTGAGCACCATTTACAGAAATGGGAGTGTAAAATACAATGAGCTCAGTTAGATATGTTGAATTTAAGGTGACAGCGAGACATCTGTTACCCTGTTATTCTGATTTTCATTTTATTAAACACATTGTATTTATTTATTAGAAAACATCTTATTTAATAGTGCTTTGGCAGACACTAAAACCTTACTAAGGAGTGGAATTCATTAGAAAGGGAGGCAACCTTAAAGGGGCCTCATCAGGAGATAATTTCACCAATAAGACAGTATCAAGGTCAGGCTTGAAGGACAGGAATTAGTTGACATTTGAATATTCAGCTGCTCTAAACTGTAAGATACCTCACAGACCAGCCAGTCCAACCCATATCAGGAGAAGAATCCCCTTGATACCATTTCCATCCCGTAGCCATTCATCTTTTGGGACATGCAGTGATGCAGAACCCACTCCATCCCAAGGCAGCCCATTCCAAAGGCTCAGATTGTTCAGGAAACCTGAATCTTCCTCCCTGGCTTCAACCCATTACTCCTAGTTTTGCCCTGTGAGGCCATAAAGAACTAGCCCAGGCCTAATCTGTCTGCCATATATCATCCTTTCAAATACTTGAAGAGTATATATATCCATCTCCAAGTCTTCTCTTCTCCAGATTAAACATTCCCTTTTTTAATTTATTCTTATACAGCATGATCTCAGGACTCTTCACTGTGATTATTTCCCTACTTTTCTTTGATGAAAAGATTATTTTCTCTATATTTTGTGCCCAACAGTATTTACCAATGTTACTTTTCCACTTAATTTAAAGGACCTCTTACTTATGGAAAGAGTACTGGTTGGAGGTAATCAAGATACTTTTGGGTTTTAGTCCTGGTCCTACCATTAATCAAACCAAATCAGAGTTAAACAAATTGCTGTTAACTTCATTGTCCTCAGTTTCCTTTAAAATGAGTTGTCTCGGGAGGCAGTGGGCTCTACTTCACTGGATGTCCCCAGACAAAGGGTGGATGGCTACTTGTGGGAATGGTGTAATGGAGATTCTGGCTCCAGTATGGGTTGGTCTTTAAGGGGTTGGACTAGATCGCCAGCTAAAGTCCTTTTTAGGGCTGATGTTCCGTGTTCTATGGATTTTATTGTCTAGCATTTTATATACAAAGCTCTTTCTCGCATTAATAGTCTATGTGCTTTGTGCTGTAGCATTGCATATTCTAATTCCTTTGCAACTCCAGCAGTCTAAGTGCTATGTTCTAAGAACCCTTGAAGCTCTAGCCTTCTGTGTCCCAGCATTCTGTGTCATAAGGTCCCTCCCTACTCTAGCATTTACATTTTCATGCCAGCTATAATATTCTGCATGATTATGTCCCTCCCAGCTCTAATGTGCTACATTAAAACATGCTTTGCTCTATTAGACTGGAAGCTCCTTGAGAGCAGGGACTGTTTTTTTTAAATTTGCTTGGCCTTTCTTTGCATCCACAAGGCTTACTTAACACAGGGGCTAGCATATAGTAGGTGCTTAATAAATGCTAGTTGACTTAAGTTACTTTATAATAATAATGTTCCATATCTCAGTGTCCTTATCATAGGGTCCCTTCAGCATTAACATTGTATGCTTCAACAATCAGCAAGGCAGACTTTTTGCCAAATCCCTACATTGGTGCACAGTGTGGTACAGGCAGTGGACCAAGGTTCAATATTGTCTTGGGCATTGGCATTGTGACTTGGGAAGTTATTTTACTTCCCTGGGCCTCAGTTTCCTCACTTGTAAAATGAATGAAAGGATTAGCCTAAATGAGCTCTGAGGACCTTTCTTGATCTATAACAAACATTTTGGGAAAAGGCTTAGTTTTATACTATAACATTTGACAGATCTAACATCATTATACAGAATGTGATTTCATTATGATGAAACACTTTCTACCAACTCAGATCAACACCTCCTCTGTGCCTCAGATAGTCTTAAAGAATTACCTGAGGTTAACTGGCTAGCTCAGGGTCATATAGTCATGTTTGAGTCAGAGGCAGGCTTGAACCCAGCTCTTCCTGACTACAAGGACAGTATGCTGTCTATCCATTTTATGATACTCCCTTCCCATGAGGACATTACAGCACTCATCTGATTTGGGGACCACCAAATGTTTGGTGTGCTCCCCATCATTGATAGGGATAACTGAGTGCCAGCTATCGCCTTGTTGCGATGGCTGCTCGAATCTAAATTCAGGCTCTCTCAGGATCTGTGAATATTTATCACTGCTTTGGAAAGTTAATGCTGGCTGCCAGTAATGAGCCTGGCTGAACTTGCTGCCTACTTCTTTTCTAGGTGTCACTCTCTGTCGGATTAATTAGCTTCCAGAATTAGAATACAGTAAATTGTGGGAGAGATCAAGTCAGTCTGACTTCTTAGGGCATCTGGGATGAAGGTGGAATGGAGAGAGCTGGAATAGGAGGGTTGGGGTGCCACTCTTCAACCATAACCCAGAAATGTTGACATTAACATCCCTCCTGGCAAAATACAATATTTCTTCCAAACAGTTATAGTTAGCATTTAATATACCCCTCCTCCATATGAGAGAGAGAGAGAGAGAGAGAGAGAGAGAGAGAGAGAGAGAGAGAGAGAGAGAGAGAGAGAGAGACAAAACAGGAAAAGAGGAGAGGAGAGGAGAAAGAGAGAGAGAAAGAAGAATGAGATGAGAGTGATGAGGGAGATGAGAAAAAAGATGGAGAAAGAGATGAAAGAGAAAATGGAGAAAGATGAGAGAGAAGACAGAGACAGAGACAGAGAGAGAGAGAGAGAGAGAGAGAGATTTCATTTAAAGAGAGAAAATGATAGTTCAGATCAGAGAAGGAAAGTAATATATGTGCATTTCATAGCTTCATAGCTTGAGAGCTGGAAGGGACCTTAGAGTCCATTGAGTCCAATGCCCTCATTTTACAAACTGAAACTGAGGCCCAGAAAGGTAAAGTGACTTACTGAAAGTCATACAGCTAGCAAGTATCTGAGGCAGGAATTTAACTTAGGCCTTTATGACTCCATGCTCAGTTCTACCTCCCTCTCAAAATTACTTTGAAAACTAATTGGTATGTAATTATCATGATCAGACTTAGGAGGCCTCAGAGAAGAGTTAAAACACTCTTACCTCTCATATTTTCAGAGATGGGAGAAGCCCTGGGCGCATAGGTAACATCGCGTATGATTTCAGATGTGATTGATGCGTTCGGTGGTTTTGCTGGACTGCCTTGTATTCCTTTTTTCAATTTTTTATGACAAGTAAAGGCTCACTCAGTTTGAAGAGAGGGATCTATCTAGGAATTAATGTGTTGTTAAAGATAAAAAGTATCTATAAAAATAAGATTCTAAAAGAACAATAGAAAAATTACTTTAAGTCCTTTAAATTTTTGTATCTGCTAACGTGCACATGTGTTATATGCCTCCGGCAGAACATAATCTTCTTGAGGACAGGCATGATTTGTGTTTGTCTTGGTATTGGCAGCACCACACACCCAATAGTCTAATAAATGTTTGTTGAATTGCTCGAGGTCACGTGACTTAGTTAATGTAAGAGGTGGGAACTCTGAAACCAAGGCCCACTGTTCTCAATACTGCACCCTTAAAACTGACCATACTAAAACAAAAACTGGAAGAGTATTCTTTATACAGATGTCCAATTGTTCATGCCTCATCAGAACTTAGATATCCTTTAAAATAGCGTTTGTATCATTCCAAGTGGCCAGATTTTGAAATGTATTGATGTGTAGAGGAAGGAAGGGAGTGATAAAAAATACACATAGAGCTCATCTGAAGTCAGTCCATAAGCAGCCCTTGAAAGCTACAGTCCTCTTCTACAAACTTTGGCTTCAGAGTAAAATTAAACCTCTATACCCTGCCATTCGAAACCTTCTGCAATCTGATGTTATTCTCCTTTTCCATCCTTATCTCTTTTCCTCCCTTGTGCTTCATCAGAATGGTCCCACCTCTATACCTTTGCTCACAGTGTCACTAGAATGTCACTCCTCCCCTTTTTGTTGAAATTCCCAATGATCCATCCTTTAAGATTCACCTCAAGTACCACTTCTTCCAGAAATCCTCTCCGAACACTAATGACCAGTTACCCTAGACTTTATATAGCATGTCATTTTGTAACTCTTTACTTCATTTATTTTCCTCATTTTTTTTAATTGACGTTACTTTCTTTTTCAAAAGTACCACTGTCTGTCCCCAGTAGCAGCCTCCACTTCACCCACAGGACCCTGCTTGGAACAAAGAAGTATACTTGAAGAGAAGAAATCAATCTAGTGACCACATATGAAAATATGTGCACCTCTTGTCCATCACCTCTGCCAATATGCAGGAGGTGTGCTTTCCACCAGTCCCCTAAGGTCACAGTTGGTCATTGCGTATGTAAGATTTCTGAAATCTTTTGATGTTATTTTCCTGCTTCTAATTTTTTTGCTCTGCATTAATTCAGGCAAGTCTTCCCAAGGTTCTGTGAATTCATCCTGAATATGCATAGGCAATATTTCATGCTATAGTTATCTGTAAGATATAGTGGAAAGAGTGCTAGGCTTGGAATCAAAAAGTCCTGAGTTTGAATCATGCCTCAGTCACTTACTAGCTGTGTGACCTGAGCAAATTATTCAAACACTCTGTTCCTGAGTTTCCTCATCTGTAAGTTTAGAGGGCTGGGATCTATGGCCTCTAAATTCCCCTCCAGTTCTAAATCAATGATGCTATGTATGTTTATGTCACACATGCCCACTAGATTGTAAGCTTTGTCAAAACAAGGACAATATCTTACCTGAATTTTTTATCACCATCAATGTTCAACACATTGTAAATGTTTGTTGGAAGCCTGAATGAATGAACTTCCTTTGATAATATTCTCCAAAGTATACCCAAGCCCATATTCCACAGTACCTGTCTAGTAGGACCATCTCATTTGCGTTCTTCTGTCCACAGGAGTATGAATCCCTCTACGCGCAGATCAACAGACCTAAGAAATAGCATCATTGTGGGTTTGGGGTGGGCGCTTCAAGACTCAAATGGAAACCTACATCTCAACAGGCCTTGGGCTCTCCTGATTTCTTTGATATGACCCCATCTGACAATGGAATTGATGGTTGCCTGCTGAACTAATTCTACAGATGGACCTGACCACTTGGGCAACCAGCGGCTAATATCTATGGCAGCACAAAAAGGAAAAAAAAAAAGGAACCCCCACCATCACCATCCCTGGAACCGTCCAACAATTACTTACCCTACAAAATACCTTGAGCCCTCTTGACAAGAGTTCTGAATTACCCACGATGGGAAATCTTTTTGTTTCCCTCAACCTTGACTATTGCATTTGGAGTCACTGGCAGTGAAAAGTTAACTTTTAATGGCCACTTATTTGTTTTAAGCAAAGTCAGAGGGTCTGGTGTGCTTGCAAGATTGTTGTCCATCAGGTTCTTGGACCCAAGTCTGAATTTTTACATCAATGATGATTGTTTCTCATAACTACAGAAAACTGGTCCTGCCTTGTGGCTTTGATTTGGGGGTTCCCCTTCCCCTAGCATACCTAAAGATAATGGGTGTACCATTTTTTGTACTTCCTGGTAACTTCCCCCCCCAATAAGTCATGAAATCTAGTTGGAAATTGCCTCATGTGAAATGAATCTTAACTTGAAATCACGGAATTAAATCACACAACTGATTATTTGTGATGATTTTTTAAAAAATAAATGGTTGCCAAAAGGACCTCTTTGCTCTCGTGCTTCAGGATGGAGAAATGCTGCTTTCAGATTGAACATTCGCACTATGGGAAGAAAATGCATCATCTCTCTTGGATGAGAAGGAGGAAAAAACTCATATTATTTCCTAGAAATCTCCAAATGCTAAGTACAATAAAGGAATATTTTTTATTTCTCCAATCTCTTGCTGCTGTGATGCTATGCAGACAAGTGTTCTCTTCTCTGTGTGCCACTTTTTTTTTTTTAAGAAAATTATTTGCCAAATAATTCTGGTCCAATTTTAGTTTGCAGATTCGGATGAAATGACTTTCCAAATGGGACAACAGTGGCTTGAACAGTGGGGTAACAAACTGATCCTCTGATGCAAGTGGTTCATCCCTATCTCTTTTTTGTACATCAGAAAACTCAAATGGGATTTCTTTTTTTTTTTATTTTATATCTTGAAAAAGGAAAAAAAATTCTTACCATAAAACTCTTGTGATTTGGTAAGGGAAATGGCTTTAAGTCCAATGTGATAATTTTTTTTTGTAAATATCAATCTTACTGATAATTCTTTTAAATAATGCCATTACACTTTAGAGAGAGGAACAGACGGCTCTGGAGGTGTGACAAGCTGGAAGGACGGTTCTTACATGCTGTATGGTTTCCACAAGCTTATGCTGATGTGATAAGGAGCCAGTGCTCAGTGTGTCTGGTGGTAGCAACTAGTCAATCAGCAACTAGTAAAACTGGGAGGGATCACATTAGGTAATGATCTCACTTTTTCCACAAAAGTACCCAAACTCCATGTAAAGAAAAAAAAATATATATATATACATACATATATGCATCTAGACAGCATGTGCATATACAGTGTACATGACCCTTTGGAGCCTGTCTTTGATTCTTGACTCCTCCCCTACAGAAACTGTGGACTGTTTGTACACGACACAGAGAGTTTTAGCTTCCTTTTTTTACATTTATTGGGGTGGGGGGGGAAGTGCAGTGTTTGGTTCCTTACTCTGTTTAGCACATGCTTTTCATACAGAAGCTCTATATTTTTGCCCTCCAGAGAATTCTTATACAGGTCAAACATGTTTTCCTAATGTTCCTATGCAGTTACCGCGAGTTGGATTCGCAATTTAACAATAAGAAGAAAACTGTAAAGGGATCATGGTTCATCTGTGTCTAGGGTTATTATCATGATTTCAGAATTTGAGCAGGTGAAGGTGCATCACTGTCATGGATTTCAATGGGCCAGGATGTAGCCACCATTTATGCTGTCATCATGGTGTGTCCTGAAATGGCTTAGAAGAAAGCTTGTTTTCCACCAACAAAGAACAGAGTGACAAATCGGGATGGTTGAGAGTATTTGGAGCCAAATATTGCAATACCTGGCTGCTGGAATCTGCTGTCTGGTTAGGTGTTTTGAGAACATGATCACTGTAAAATCTATGAGACTGGTTTCTAGAAGGCAAAGTGCCCAAGATACAGAGAGACGAAGAGACTGTCTACCATTCCCCCTTTCCTTCTTTTCTCTCCTCTTCCCTTTTGCTTCCCCTACCTTCTCATCATCTTTTTCCCCCTCTCTGTTTTCCCTCCTCTTCCTTCTCATCACCTCCCTATTCTTTTCCCTCTCCTTTTTCTGTCACTCCCCTTTCCCTCTAGTCAGTCATCTTTCTCTTTCTCTTCTGTGCTTTCCCCTTACTCATCTTTCCCCTCCTTTACATTCTCTCTCTTTCCCTTCATTTCCCATTTTGTCCTATTATCTTCTTTGTCCCTCTCCTCTTGCTTTTCTGATCTCCCTTCCTTTCATCTGTAAATTGCCACCTATGAGTACTATCCTTTTCACAAGAATGCACATGAATTTTATGAAGAAACCACCTTCTTCAGTCAACAGTTAACAACAAAAATGGTGGGAAGGAGGGAATATAACAACTACATTCCCTTAAGTTGAGTTGTTTTAGGGTGAGTCAGGAAAGGCCACCATTTCCATTAAACAAGTCTTAGAGAACTGTGTGTTGTTTTATGATTTCTGCTCCAACAAGTGGTGCTATCTTCTGCCTCAATGTGGCTGTCTTCTAATTTTTGTCTCTCAATCAAAACTGTTTCTAACCTTGCTTGACTTTGAAATAGTCAAATTATCTGTTCCACTTATGCTGTTGGGAAATATTTTGAGAGCAGAATCTGACAGCCCTGTGGTTTGTTGCCACTCACAGGACTCCATTGGGAATGCCCGCTCCTTGGAACATAAAAGAAATCCATGGAATAAGTTGAGGGATGGAAAAGGCATTTAAGATTATTGTCCATCTCATCATTGGCAGTGTTCTTTTGCAAAGTGGGAGTCACGGAAGCTAGAGAACAATACCAAGTCCTTTCAATGGAATATCAACCATCCTTTATTCTGTAGCAAAGAGGCTGAAACCCAGAAGTTCACAGGGAGTCTGCACTGGACCAGTTTCATACACTACTTGTATAAGTGTTAATTCCTCATCCTTCACTGGCACTAAATTTGTCACTTTAAATTTTAAAACCAGGGAAACTCAACCTCCATCTTGTTACCATTCCCCGTAGTTCTTCAATCTCTACATGTAATGAGACAGTTTCAATAGACCATAGTCATCCCAGTGTCTAATGAAATGCCATCATCTAATGTACTGGGCGCCCTTTTTTTCAGAAATAATAATAATGATGATAATGACAACAATGATGTTTACTCTGTGGGTTTTGTTCAATTCCATTTCTGCATTCTGACACATATTTTTTTAATAAAGAGGAGAAAGATAAAAGGACTGTTGCCGTACATTTCTAGATCTACTTCGACTTTACCTCAGATGACAGTTTGTTAACATATACGGACACATTATTTTTAACTTTACGTATGATGCATTCAACAGAACAGCAAATGTTTTTAGAGATTTTCCATTAATTTCTGTAACACATCATGTAATACTGTTACAAATAAACATGTTTGAAAAAAAAAAAACATGGTTGAAATTACTTCTATAGTTTTCCTTCAGGAAGACTGAAGGAAGCAGAGAAGAAATTACTCTTGGGAGCCTACCAACATACTTGTGTTCTTTTCTATCAAGTGCCAACCTTCTGATGGAAATATACAAGCATCATTGGGATTGAACCATTGTCCACTTGAACATAGTGGGCATTTAGAAATTTCCCATTATTGGAGCAATGCCTCAGAGTTAGCTGTTCAAAGGAGAAATAGGTCCTTCAGTCTCCACGTGACTATGAAGTATGAGTCAAAATCAGCATGATATTTCCCACGTTGAGAATGACTGCCACTAGCCAGCCAGTTTCTGTTCCCTCAATGAGTCACTTAGAAATTGACTAGATCAACCTTAGAAAAGACATAAAAGACAAGGTCATTTATCCCAAGGCTGTTTGCTTGAAGTGACGTGTTCTAAGGACACTTCTTTATGGAAAATGCTGAGGGAAGTCACTTAAATCAAGAGCTAAGTGAAAATAAGAACATGGGATTTAAGACTAGCTAATGCCTCCTCTCATTTTTTTTCTATAAGGAAGTTCCACTGCAAATCCAATAGGCCCTATTGGATTGCCACTAGATGGGTATGAGGAAGCAAACCAGACTCAGTCATACTGTTGCTGTAGAGACACATGTTTTCAGGGTCATAGATTTACAGCTTCCAATGACCACTTATTATCAAATGTTAATACAATTTGGAAGACTTTATGAAGGAAATGTAGAGAATCTCCTCACTCAAACATCATAGTTTAAGATTAAAGAGTCAATACTTCATCTAGGTCAGCTTATCATTTTCATTTTGCTCTTTGGAATTTCTACTCACTCATTAACAAAATTCCCTTTATCTTAGACCCCTTCCTTCTCCTTGCACTCTTTCCATCCTCCAGCATTCACAGAGACCTGGCTTTCCCAAGGACATGTTATCCCTAACCATCCCTTCCTGGTTGCACCTTCTCCCATGCCTTCTAATACACCAGTCTTGGTGTATGAATTGGCATATCCCTTTCTACTGAGTGTCACTTCCAGTCCCCTCCACTTCCTTTGAGGTTCACACTGTGCACACATATCAAATACCTCATGTCCCAGTGGTAATTCTCTTCAGTCTTTGTATCATTCTTCTCCCTTTCTTGGAAGTTCAGTACCTCATTGTCTGTCTTCTGTTCCTCTGCAGCTCCTACTCTTATATTAGGGGATATGAAGAATACAGATGTGTATTCTCTTAAATACCCAGGCCTTCCAGTTCCCCAATCTTCTTAATCCTTGTGAGTTGCACATTCCCTCTACCATAACTACACCCAGAGATGGTCATACCTTTCATTTCGCCATCACCCACAAGTGTTCCTGTGCACAACCATAACCTCTTAACATCTCATCCTGTGTCTCACTCTTTCTACCCTTTGTCTTCACTATGACCTCCAGTCTTTCCACCCCGACTACTCCCTTAGGCCAGATTTCCTTCTCTGACTTCACTTTCCTCCCTTCCCAGCTTTGACCCAGCCATTGACTGCTTCACCATTTCAGTTTCTTCTCTTCTCCTTGGTTCCTTTGTCCTATTGCCTGTTACACCTTGCCAATCCCCAAGCCTGGATTGCTACCAACCCCACCTTTCTCTCTTCTTTCTTAAGTAAGGCTGAATGGAGTTGAAAGAACTCACAAGTCTATACTGAGTCCTCTATAAGCTTAAATTGTCTAATCTCACCTGGTTCCTCCCTGAAAGGACATCTTTTTATTCTTCCCTATTAATTCTCCATACCACACTCTCAGAGACTGTTCAAAACCTATACTTTTTTTCCCCTTAATCTCCCTCCCACTACCTCATATTTTACAGAGAAAATCAAAACTTCACCGTAAACTGCTCACCTATTCTGTGCCTTGTACCCCCTTGACATTATTCTCAATATTCTCATCCTCTGTTCATTCTTCACATTCTCTCCTTCTTCACTCCAGTCACTGATGCTTGATCAGGTAACCCACCTCACCAAGGTCAACTCCTCTACATGAACCCTTATGTCTCTGTCTCAACTCTCACCCTTCTGTGATCTATCCTCCACAAACCTGCCACAATATGTCTAAAATGTCTGAAATATAAGTCTGACCATTACACTACCACACGTAAGAACCTTAAGTTCCTTCTTGCCTGAAGATCAAAGACAGATTCCTCTGGTGGATAATCAAGACTGTAAAACCTGGCTCTAACCTA